ATCAAGACTGGTTTGACAAAAGACACTGAAATTCAAGGTCTCATCAACAGGAAATGGAAAGCTTTCCATTCCTGGCAGAATGACATCAACTTTGCCGTAAAGAAAAATGAATGCCAACAACCAAAATCAGAGGTGCAGAGAACACAAGAACTGAAGAATGAGTGGTGGATTCAGAAAAAAAAAAAAATACATGTCTCTTACCTTTCAAACCTAGGGTTTGTAGCTGGAAGAGCCGTCCAAGTTCATAAGGCAAAACCCGTAACAGATTGTTATTTAAAAGCAATTCCCTACATAAAAGACAAGAGAGCAGTTATTAACATCATCTTAGCACACAACGCCAGAACAATTATTCTTATGCATCCTTATAACCTTTTCTAGTTCTTTGTAAGTAACAGTATCACAACTCTTACATTTTATAGTTCTTTATCATTGAATTTAAAAGTAAATATCAGAAGAGAAAGAGACACCATGTAGTCTGAAAAGCTCATTTTTGGGACCACATCAAAGCAAGAAACTATATTAGCACACTAGTCCTTAACAATAAATGGGCAGTCAAATAGAATAAGGAGAGAAAAGGGTTGGGGGGTTTTTGTTTAAGAACATAGCATACATTTTGCTTGAAAAAGGAGAGGTATTGTGATAGAGAGAGCCATAAGTCCAATTTCACCATGATCCTTCACTGAGCAAAAAGACGGTAAGCTAGTCTATCCTTAAATGCAAAGTCAAATTGGGTACAGCTGCTATAGGCAGATTCAATTCAGGTTTTATATTTTGCTTATTAAGATTTGGAAAATATATGAAAATGCAAAAGCAATATATAGAGCATTCAGTTTAAAGTAACTACCTGTAAAATTATAATTTTGGAGGGTTAGGCTGCATCCACACAAGCGTGGACGTTTGGTTCCCTACGGAAAACTAGCAGTGGCGTACCTTGTGTTCCCTGGGGCACACCTGTGCCATGCACCCTCTGGCATGCAACAGGTTACCACAGGTGGGTTAGGGTTAGTGTTAAGGTTAGGCTGACCCCAGCAGCTATTAGTTGTAAGATGGCTAAGAGTCAGCATTGAAAAATGTTAAGAATTGACAGTAAGAAGGATTCTGGCTCAGCATAATCAGCAAATAGCCTGGACAAAACAGCAGCCAGCCATATCAAAAATATGGAATAAACAGTTTAAGTCGAAAAATCCATGGGCACCATCATGGGCCAGACAGCTTCATGGATTGTTGCATCTTTGACACCCATGCCTTAAAATAATGTTTGCCTTGTCCAGCTAACATTAATATAAGCACTGAATTTTTCAGGCTAGATTGTTCTGAAAAATTTGAGGAGGGAAAGTCAGTGTTCCTTTGGTCCCCAATCTCTAGTAGAGAGGTGCTTGGGATATTATCCCAAATAATTCTTCTCACCTGAGAGATACCATGTTTCCTAGTTCTGCTGGTAAACTTCTAAGTTTGTTGGATGACAAATCCAGGTAAACCAGATTATGGAGTTTGGCAATATCAGGTGGAATGCGAGTAAGATTATTGTCATTGAGGTGAAGAGCAGTCAAGTGCGTCAGTGACCAAAGTGATGTACTTAAACTCCGCACTCTACCTAAAAGAGGAAACAAAGAAACAAGTCTTCAGACAGCTTTATACTCTCAAGCAGAGATGGTGGGCACAAATAAGGGTTACATTTTCAAGGTGCTGTGTTTGAATTCAGATACACAAATCCTACACTTGGCCACAGAATGCGCAACTATTTGATTCCTTACCCTAAACCATGTGGAAATACTCCTCAAGACAGAAGAATTAACTTTGAATTGTTTGTTTTTGTTTTTTTACTAACCTGTTTTAAATAACCATCTGGTGCTAGTTTAAGCAGGAAGGTGAAATGGAAAGAAAAGAAAGAATTTAAATTTAGAAACAAATCTGCTGGCAAGATAGTCATCAGGGCTGTGTGACGCTTTGGTCCCGATTCAATTCAGTGGAGATTTGGCCCAATTTGGTGGTCAAATCTCTAAATCTGAATTAAAATCAGGAGGACTCTTTAATCTGTTCCAGGCCCACCGGAAGAACTTCCGGTCTACTTCTGAGTCCGCTGGGGGGGCCCCCTTGCACCCCTCCCAGCTTGGCAACTGGTGCCTCCTGGATCGGGGGGGGGCACCTGGGGTCCCCCTGCAGCCCATTGCTGAGGTGGGGGAGCTGAGGGGGGCTCCCTGCACACTTGGCAGCAGACCTGGAAGTAGATCAGAAGCAATTCCAGTCCACTTCCAGGTTTGCCGTCGAGCACATGGGGGGGCCGGGGCAGAGTGTTCCTGTGGGATGCTCCATCCACCGCACCATCACAGCATTCATGAGCTGCACCTGGTACCTCAAGGTATGTAGAAGAAAGATTTAAAGCTGTATCTATAGCCGAACCACTGATTCTCTGAATCAGCATCGAATCTTCGATTTGGCCAAATCTGAATCGGGGACAGTGATCCGAATCAACTAATCAAATCACTGTCCCCGATTTGACCCGAATCCGAATCCAATATAACCCGTTTCGCAAGCCCCAATAGTCATTTAATAGTTTACAGAAATTCAGAATGTAACATTATTTTGAAAAAAAATGAACTAAAAATTCTAGCCACCCCCATCTATATAAAGAACCAACATCTTAATTCCAGGTTTTCAAGCAAGTAAAAGTTCAAGTAAACATTGCACTATGATAGTTGTATTCTAAATAATCTGGCATTTAGCCAAACCAAGATTTGAAAAAGACTTACCCGAGATTTCTAATTCTGCCCAGTGAGACTTCTTCCCATTGGCTAACTCCTCTGCTGACATGATGGTATAAATTCTGCGAGGATCTGGAGGATCATATTTTTCCTTTGGCATCCCTGTTAGTCTGAAAGAATGCCAGAATTAGTACCACACAGAGTTGAAACAACAAAACATTTCTTTGCGTCTAGCCACCCAACAGAATATTCTTCACAGCCTCATACTAGAAAAAGCATGTACTTAATTTTGTTTTCTGAAAATAGTTCCATGTTAGTCAGTGGATGGATTTAAGCATGTTCTTACATATCTTTGTGGAATCATATTGGCAAGGGGATTTTCCATGACGTTTGGTTTCTGTGGAAGGCAGGATAGGATTAAACTATCCTGTTCAAGCAGCAGAATTCCTAAACTTTTCTGGTATTTTCCTCTCCATACCCTATATTTAATGACCCATGACACTGCACTGTTGGCTGCTTCAGGAAACAGTCAAAATGATTAAAAAGGCACCAAGTCTCAGCTAGACACCACAGAATGGCTCCCTATTATTTACAAAGACCAAAACTACAAAGAAAAATCTTAGATTACCATACATTATTTATGACAATTATATTTCTGGGTTAAACAAGTCCCTTTTTCACACTTCCACACAGATGGAAATTTTCAAGACTTGTGGCTCTGAACCTTTACTCCCATCTCTCATCTATACATGCTTTAGCTCTTCCTCCATCATACCTGCCCATGCTTACAAATCACAAGTAGTAGAAGGCACTTGGTTGAAGTGCAAAATTCTGGAACAAGGTGGAGGTATAAATACTGCTAACAAAATTTATAATTACAGGGTTACTGGCAGCCCAATAATTTGATTTGCTGATTATCCCACGCACTTTAGTCTTAAAATTGATGTTGTATACATACAGGGGCAAATTATTTCATTTCTGGCAAAGTGCTGGCACAGGAAAGCACTAAAACCTTACTCTAAAAAATTCAGCCGTATTTCAGGGATTACATGGTCAAAAGCATTTAATATATGCCTTTCAAGCAACTGTGTTGAGCAACAGGAGATGTATTGTTCAGTAAAACTATTATAAATCTGTGGACAAGACTTTTTAAAAAAAATACAACCTTGATTTTCTGCATGTGAGCAGAGTGGTTCACCAAATGCAAGTTTTCCACATTAACAACCCTCTATAATGGAAGCAGTTTCTATACTGTAGTGTTAAAAATTATTTCTACTTGTCAGGTCAGCAAACCAAAGCTATGAAGAATTTGGAGAAAGCTAGTTCAAACTGTTTTGATTGGATCTGCTGAAATAAATGTTGTGCAGCAGATCATCAGCTGATTGGTCATGCACAATTTAGAAATCCTGAAGTTTAAGACCATCTGTTTAATAAAAAGACAAAACTATAAAACTTCGCCATTTTAAACATGAAGGACCTGAGTTACCAAAGCTTTCCTTTGAATGACATGTTTCATTTACCAGATGAGGTGGGAGAAGAAAGCCTTGTGAATTCACAACGAAATTCCAATTTATGGTGAATTTGGAGAAATATTGCCCTTTCATTCAAAGGATATGACAGTATATAAACTGAAATTATAATTATAGTGAGCTTCCACTTACAGGTGGAATCATCTGGTAATAAAAGCAAAGTGCCAAAGGATTCTGCACACTTTCTGCTCTGCTGCAGCGCTTCACCTCGTAGGGTTAAATGAAACATTAAGAAAACAGTAGTGCAAAAGCGATGTTGTACCCATGATGGTCCCGAAATTATAAAAATGCAAGGATTTCTTAAGGTGCTAATCTTTTATTGGTTATATTTTATTTTTATATTATATATTATTTATAATTTATAATTTATTTTATTATAATAATATATTATTATATGTTATTGGTTATATAAGTATGTAGTTATACAAGTATGTAGTTGGGTAAGTAAAACAAGCTTTTGAATGTAAGACATTCTTCCTCAGGTTAACACACAACATAAAATCACCAATAAATTAGATCCTTGTTTGAGAATCTGAATAGTCGAACCTGCAGTCACTAGCAAAATCCACATTACAGATTTCACTAAATTTGATCCATCTCCAGTGCTCCTCTCATTGCTTATGTTTAAAAACTTGACCTTACCAATAATTCTTGTACCAAAGTGTGCTGCCCAGCTCCTATGAAGAGATACCTCCTAATCCTTTCTGGGAGTCTGAAAAAAAGTTTTATTTCCACTTTATTGACCAGATTCCTTGCTTTCAGACATGCATCAGGCTAACCTACATTCCAGTGAGTCTGAACATAACTCCTTCTGGATTTCAGTAGCATCCCTCCAGCCAGCAAGATTCAGCAAAGCAATGAGTCACTGCTTACACAAAGGGTCCAAATCCCTAGCACATGGAGAACTCACAGCCTCTGTCAACTTCAGCTGCAAGACTCAAATTCTATTCCCTGCACAGAGAAGGATACCGCAATACAACCAACCCTAAAATTAGCATCTCTAATTAAAATATTATGTAGTTTCTGTAAGATATAGGGTAAGATATAGGATATAGTTATGTAGCTTCTGCAAGATATAGGATCTTACAGTTTCTGTAAGATATAGGATAAAGGTTTAGGTCAAGATCCACATCCCATTGTGACACATTGTATAAACAGTAAAAACCCCTCTAAAACACATAGGTTGAAACAACAACTAGTAAGTGCATATCATTTGATATTATTGGAAACAGATTCCTTAACTAAGATTTATTTTATATGCTTTGTTGCTGTTGTTGAATTATCCCTATCTCTGAAGATTTTTAAAACGGCAACAGCAGAGCCATTTGGGTGGTGCAAGTGAGATGAGTTATCAGGAAATAAACAGGGACTGTGGTCCACAGGAGCTATTTTGGATCCTTAACTAAGTTTTCAGTTATTTTCAATGCATAGCTTTTTAAGCACAAATTTAAAAAAAAAAGAAAAGAAATTAAAATCACAATATTGTTTAGGGATATTTACTGAATAATTTAGTGTTTCAGTTGAGCCCAGCAAGGAATTATCTTAAAATCATATTAACATCCGTTCCAGTTCAAATGCATATTAACGATCCCACAGCACTTTCTGCCACAGGAGGAGGCTGTCTTGCTGTCAATCCAAGATTCCCATTTCCTTTCACTACCGTACTCAACCAGTTGCTTATCTTCCTGGAAAAGTGCATTTTGATCCTACTTCATCAGAGTTTAGAGTTTCTCAGATTTAAATGCTTAGTGTCCCATGTCTAAGGACTTTATGCAGGTTTTATTATTTTAATTAGAAAAACCTATGACAAATTTTTAACCAGGTATTATAGGCCAAGTATCAGCTGCATGCCACAATGGAAGATCAGCAGCTTGCACTCTAAACTGCTTAGGATAAGTACCACCTTACCATGAACACTGTGGGCACGTCTACATTTTCATTAATTAATTATAATTACAACGCATTAAATAATTTAATGCACCATAAAAAAAAAGGTGATACTAAACAGTAGCACCGGTGCATGCTTTTTTGTGGTGCTAATGCGCAATAGACTAATTCTACTGCGCATTAGCACAGTTTTTGCTTGCCATGATAATGTGCAGTAGAATTAGCTTACTGCGCATTTAGTGTCTCGTATAGATGTGACCTGGGGTAACCAGAGCTAAGTGCTTAATGAAATGGCCCGTCTTCAACAGGTCTCTTCCATCCCAAATGTCTTGAAAAAGGGTAATTGGGCATTAGGTTTAGACAGTTTTAGATTCAATTTCTGCTGCCTTTCAAAACTTAGATTTTCCAAATTTAAAAAATATATATTCATAATATAGGTCACTGCTTATATTATTGTGTTGTAAGACAGTCATAGATGGCTTGCAGCTTTTAAGCATTAAGTTCAAATACAGGACTTTTTTTAATCAAATGCATCACCAGCTAAGTCTCATAATAGCAAAACATAACCATTTAAGACCTTTCAGAGTTCTTGGTGGGTTCATATACATGTCCAATTAATGTAGTGGGATAAAAACTCCAGAGCACATCACACAGGAGAAAACTGCTCCCAGGTGCAGCACCTACATGTACACCTGGGACAGCAGCAATTTGCACCAAGGCAGAGCAGCCCTGGGCTGGTAGGGGCCATGGAGGTGTGGGGAGGAGTCATCCCTGGGCTCCAGGTGGCAGTAGCGGGGCTGACTGGGGCACAAGGATCAGGCAGGTATTTGGTCCCTGGTTGGCTGGGCTGACCAGGTGCAATTTGGAACTGTGGTCACCATCTACACGTGCGTTTGATCGCATGCAATTACCCTGCTGTAAGACAGTAGTCTCCAACAGTACTATCCTATGGTGAAATTAATTAGTTTACTGCACCCTAAGACACCGCATGTGTAGACAGTGAGCTTTACTGCAGAGCTAATCTGTCTACTCTGCAGTAAAGCACATGTGTAGATGCACCCAGTGAGAACTAGAATGATGCTGCTCCTCCAAAAGAGCCAATATTGGATAAACATCCCCGGGCAATGGGCCTTTGCAGAGTTTTGGGACTTCAGTTAAGTAGCATATACCATAGCAAATTTTGGCTCAGCCTTTTAAAAAGTGCTTCACCATTCCCAGACACCATGGTGAAGTGGTACTATTTACTGACACTTGCAAAGCAGCTCTTCAGGAAGCAGAAGCAGTATAAACAAGTTAACTAAAATAGTGGTTCTCAACCTTTTCAGTGTCACAACACCACATTTCTACTTTTATTTATTTATGTTTTTTAAATGTGCAGCACCCTAGCTGAGAACCACCATTGGTGTTGCCTTGGCTTACCTCAGAGCCTCCCAACAAAGTTCTGCTGCCTGCAGATGAAAGCTCCCTGCTTCACAGCAAGCCTGGGAAGGGCTGCACCTCCTGCACTTGCTCCTCCTAGGTTAGGCAGGCACTGCCTTGTGCTGTGTAGCTCTCCCTGGTCTGACCCTCCAGACACTTCTCAAAACAAGCACGCGCAATTCCACTTTCATCCAGGAGCACAGAGGGTACCAGACCAGGAAACACTACACAGCATGAAGCTGCCGGCTTTAGGTTGTTTAGAGATGCGTTTCTCAACCCGTGGATTGAAGGGTCACAAACAAACTTTAAAAAATGGAAAAAAACTCAGGGAAGTGTGGCTTTTCCCTTGAAGGTTGGCAGAGTTCCA